AATAGAACAAGAAATCATCAGATTTGTATGGAACCACAAAAGACCCCGAGAAAAAAGAACAAAGCTGTAGGTATCACACTACTTGGCTTCAAATTAAACTACAGAGCTATGATAAACAAAACAGCATCGTATTGGCAGAGAAACAGACACAGAGATAAATGGATCAGAATAGAGAGCCCAGCTATAAAGCCAGATGTATATGGACAGATAATTTTTGACAAAGGAACTAGAAACACACTGTGGAGTAAAGATAGTCTCTTCAATAAATGGTGCTGGGAAAACTGGAAAGCCACATACAAATGAATGAAACTGGCTTACAGTTTGTCCCTATGTACAAAAGTTAATTCAAAATGGATCAAAGACCCAAATTATAAGACTCAAAACAATAAGTTACATAGAAGAAAATATGGACCAAGCTTATGGACCATGGTCATAGAGAACATTTTATGAATTAACCCCAAAGACAAGGGAAGTAAAGACAAAAATAAATGATGGGATTATATCAAACTAAAAAACTTAAAATTTTTAGCAAAAGAAACCGACAACAAAACAAAGAGGCAGCCAACCAGATGGGAGATGAGATTGGTAAACAGTAGCTGCAAAAAATGTTTAATTTCCAAAATATATAAAGAACTCATAAAACTCAATACCAAACAAGCAAACAAACCAATCAAAATGTAGGCAGAGGAAATGAAAAAACACCTCTCTCAAGAAGGCATATAAACAGCCAATAGATATATGAAAAGATTCAACCTCACTGGCAATTAGGGAAATTAAAACTACAATGAGATACTACCTCACACTTGTTAGAGTGGCCACTGTCAACAAGACAAGCAATAACAAGTGTTGAAGAGGTTGTGAAAAAAGAAAAAGAAACCCTCATACACTGCTGGTGGGAATGTAGACTGGTACAGCCACTATAGAAAACCATCTGGGCAGTTCCTCAAAATATTAAGAATAGAGTTATCATATGACCCAGGAATCCCTTTCCTGGGTATATACCCCAAAAAACTTGAAAACATGTATTCGCAAAGATATATGCACCCCTATGTTCATTGTAGCATTATTCATGGTGGTCAAGACATGGAGACAATCAAAAAGTGTCCTTTGATAGATGATTGGATAAAGAAGATGTGGTACATATATACAATGGAACACTATTCAGCCATAAAAAAGGATGAAATAATGCCATCTTCGACAACATAGACAGACCTTGAGAATAGTATGCTAAGTGAAATAAGCCAGTCAGAAAAAGCTAAGAACCATATGATTTCACTCATATGTGGAATATAAAACTGAAACTCATGGAAAGACAGCAGTGTGGTGGTTACCAGAGGGAAGGGGGTGAGATAATGGGAGGGGGGATTATGGAGAGGGCCTAATATAGAGTGATTGAAGATGGTTTGACTTTGGGTGATGAGCCCACAGTGCAATATGCAGATCCTGTATCATGGAAACCCACACCTGAAACCTATATGATCCTATTAACCAATGTCACCCAAATACATTTAGTAAGAAAATAAACAAAAATTCTTTCTAACTAATTTTGATTGGGTTGTTTGCTTGTTTCAACACTATAAAGATTTTTTTATAATGTTAAAAATACTAGGCATTATTTGCACAAGCATAAAAAGTACTGATATTTTATATGCAATAAAATTTTATTTGTAATTTGCTACAATATTTCAGGTTATATAAGAGTAATTATTATCCTATATTTGGCTGCATCTTCATTGACAATTAAAATATGATTGACTCTGCTTTTATAACAGACATTTAAAGCTTTTACATTAAAAATTGGTGTTTTATTAAATAAAACAAATCTTGTTTAAACAAGTAAGTTTTCAAAAAAATGTATTATGAAGAAACAAGCTATGAATGCACAGTTCCTTAAACAAAAGAGTAGTTTGAATACAACCAAGTGGATTTTCATTTTTTTAAACCACATGAAAGCATATTAAATTTTGGTGTGCTGAAATAAGTATCTTTTGTTTCCTCAATTAGTGATATCTTTAAATATATTTCCAATGTTTCTAAAATAATTAGGCTACTCTAATCTGCACAGCTTTGCTCTTAGACAAGCAAAAATTTCACTAACAGTGTGACTCAAATTCCTACTTGTTTCCAAATATTTTTTTTTCTGTTATAGATAGTTTAAATATAGACTGCTTCACATTTGGAGGCTTAGTTCTTCCTTACAAAGATCTGTGTCACTTCTAGAAAAGCACAGTAGTGTTTTAAAAGAGATAATATTTGCCATAATTCATTAATGATTATATAATACTAACCCAGTGGAAATAGTGATAATTATTTTCATGGTTCAATTTAGTTTGTAGTTGATAATCAGGAATCATTGCAATTCAGTGGTAATTGGGAAAAAAATTTTTAATAAACTTTAAAACAAAAAAAGTCATTGTCTCTTGAGTTTTAGTTACTTCAAACATAAACATTAGATTGGGCATTTTTGTCATGAAGTTAATTCTGTGCAACAAACAAACATCATGAAATAAAAGAAGTGCTTAGAGAGCACATTTTCAAAACAGAAAATGCTGATACCACACTCTGAGGTGTCATTTTTCCATGAATGTAAATTCTAATTTGTTAGAAATGACAAAAAAAATTAAAGGGAACTGTTTCTGATAAATGAATAAATTAAATGCTAAATTAATGAAAATGCTACATTGGTTAAATGTCAACATCTGTTGCTTTGTATTTCACTCTAATAGAACTGTGTTTGCTAGGATAATCTTCAGATTGGTGGAAAGCCTCAAAAATCAAATTATCCTTTAATACATTCAAACTCAAATTCCCAGAATACTGTGCTGCCAATGCAAATGTTTCAGAGCTAAGCATGAAAGTTTCTCGTATCGACTAGAAGCTCAATTTGTCGATACTACTTTTTAATTTACTGAGATTTTTATTTATATAACTAAGAAATAATATATGGGAGTCAATATTTGTCTCATAGTTCCAAAGCTCGCTTACTTATATCAGTGTTACTAACAATTGGCTTAGAACCTTCTCCAGAACAGAGTGTCTTGGGAACTCACCTGGCTGGGGAGACTTCTGGAAGAGACTGCCACCACACATAAAGGCTTGATCCCTGAGCTGACCTCTTCCTATTTTTCCTGCTACTGAAAGTCCTGGATCTGCTCCTTAGAAAAATGGACTCAGACCTCCCACAAAACTTCCCTAAAGAGCTCACCTGTGCCATCTGCCTGAATTACTGGATAGACCCAGTCACCATGGGCTGTGGGCACAGCTGCTGTTGTTCGTGTCTCTAGGTATCCTGGGAGAAAGCAGAAAGCCCTGTCCTGTGTGCAGGAAACCATCAGAGCAGAAAATCTTCAAAACCAATATTATCCTGAAAAATCTGGTGTCCACGGCCAGAAAAGCCAGCCTGCGGCAATTCCTGAGCCCTGAGGACAATAGGTGTGGGCTGCACAAGGAAACAAAGCAGATCTTTTGTGAAAACAACAGGAGCCTGCTGTTTGCACTGCTCTACCTCTCAGGAGCACGAGGCTCTCAGACACTGCTCCCTGGAAGAGGCTGTTGAGGAACACAGGGTAAGTGGTGCCCTCAGAGCACTTAGAATGCTGGAGGAGAGTACAGCAAAGAGATGAGGGTTCAATCTTCTCCTTCCTGACATATTGATATCTACTTAAGAATCAATAATGAAGCTGTGAGGAAATGCACTGGTTTATCTGTCTTCTTGCACATTGCAATTAAATATGGAACTGCCATTTGACCCAGTGATCTGACTTTAAGGAATATATCCCAAGAAACCAGAAACCAGAAAGTATCTATTCATCCCGATGTTCATAGCAGCACAATTTACAATAGCTAAGATCTGGAAACAGTCCAAGTGCCCATCTGTTGGGGTCCAGCCCCAGCAGGTCCAGGGATCCCCAAGGGTGTGGACGGAGTCTGCAAAGAAGGAATGACATGGAGACAGTGTTCGGTTGATCAGCAGCCTAGGCAGGATCTCTAGCCAGGATCTCCAGCCAGGTTCTCTGTGTTATTGTCTCTGTGTATTTATACCAGTTGATTTTAATCCTGTCAATTTCTATTCCAAAGGTTAGGGCGTTTCTTATCTCCATTCCAGGGAGTAAAGATTATGTAGCTTAAGGGTGATTGTTCATAGTTAAAGTGATTAACTATCCGCCTGGCACTTAGTTAAGGGGTTTTATTCCCTCCCTAACTTCAGGGGAAAATCCCTACCTGGGGAAACAACCTTTCTCGGAGAGGTGACCTTGGTTAAAACACATAGAGCCAAGAAGGTGAGCAAACGTATTAAGAACAGTATGCCATATATGCCAAGTTCCTTGAAACACATGCTGTGCAGATGTTTCTTCCCTCTTTCTTCTTTTACGTGTCTAATTGCATTGACTAGGAATCCATCATAGTGTTGAGTATATGTGGTAACAGCAGAAATTCTGTTGTTTTTTAATAAATTTTTATTGATTTCATAGAAGAAGGGAAAGAGAGATAGAAACATCGATGATGAGAGGCAATCATTGGTTTTGTGCCACTTGCACTCTGCCCACTAGGGATGGAGCCCACAACCCAGGCTCCTGTCCTGACAGGGAATGAACCTATCACCTCTTATTTCCAGGGCCCATGCTAAATGACTGAGCACCATCAGAAGACTTAGTCCAATGATTTGGAACTTGCACATAGCAGAGGAGTAGCTATTTCCTGCTTATTGCCCCATCATTGTTAGCCATAGCTGGGATTCAAGCCTCTTTAATCCTCTTTAGTCGTTGTTTTCTATGTGTTGTAACCGGAATGACCTATGAGACTATAATCTGTATAATCCATTTAAGGTGGTTATTTCCTTTTGTAGATTTCAGCCAATCTCAGCAAGTGGGTGTGGCCTCCGGGGAGTCATATAAAAGGCCCATCTGTGCAGAGGACACATCACTTCTCCAGAGTAGACTGACTGAAGTCAGAGCTGCCAGTTGAGTGAAGAGAATTCCTACTGACCCTGATATCGACAGAACTTACCGAGGTGGGAGCAATTTAAGTCTTAATAGTAGCTTCCCCACATCTTTTTCAGGATCATTGGGGGAACCCTTCCCAGTTAGCAAAACAGGTGCCAGACAAGGATATAAAGACACTGTTTCCCAAGTGGAGCCACTTTCCAGCATCATGAAAGGACTGAAAAAGAAGAAGGATCAGGATCGTTCCCCAAGGAGATATGGCCACGACACAGTGGCAGACTTGGACCCTCTGTCGAGGGGTGATCATCCTCCCGATAAGCAGCCAGTCCACCTGAACCGGTCCCTTGGAGGTGCTCTGTTTGGTCGGACTAGACCGGATGTTTTCAAAAGCAATAAAGAAGTCGGTCGTCTGGGCAACAAGGAATCTAGAAAGGAAATTGGCCGGGCCGAGTCAGGGAAAAAGGATCACATGGCCATCCCAGGAGGGAGTCGGTCTGTTCTGGCAGCTTCCCGGCTTCCAGGTGTGAAAGAGGAAGGTGAGCCAAGAGGAACTCCTGGGCGTCAGAATCACAGAAGTGAGAGCACAGACAGTCTTGGGGGCTTCTCTCCCTTTGAAGTCACAGCGATCCAGTGCAAGAACATTCCCGACTTTCTCAACAACAGGAACTTTCTGGAGAATCACTTTGGCAAAATTGCTCAAGTGCAGCGCATTGACACCAGGCGCAACAAACACCTCGCGGTGGTGTATTTCTTTGACCATGCTTCTGCAGCCCTGGCCAGGAAGAAGGGGAAAAAAGGTTTGCCTGAAGAAACGTCTATCTTTTGGCACAAGAAGGAAATAAGTCCCAACAAGAAACCTTTTTTCCTCCAGGAGAAGAAACCAGGTGAGGGTGAGGCTGGCCTGGGCACCGAGGACACATCCTTTCAGCACTCCCCCCTTGGCAAGCCCATGGGGAGGACTGCAGTCGGCAGCCTCATGAATAAAAGCTCTCCAGGGAAGAAGTCAGGCTTTCTGAAGGCCCACCTGTTTGAAGGAGACTCTTTTGACTCGGGCTCTGAGGGTTCTGAGAGTCCTGGGCTGTGTGTGTCCTCCCTCCGTGCGCTGATAGGCACTGTGGCCGACACATCTAAGGAAAAGTACCGCCTGCTTGAACAGAGGGACAGAATCATGAGGCAAGCTCGGGTGAAAAGAACCGACCTGGACAAAGCAAGGACTATTGTTGGGACGTGCCCTGACATGTGTCCCGAGAAGGAGCGGTACATGCGGGAGACCCGGAGACAGCTGAGTGTATTTGAAGTGATCCCAGGAACTGACCAGGTGGACCACGCGGCAGCTGTCAAGGAGTACAGACGCTCCTCGGCCGACCAGGAGGAGCCCCTGCCACATGAGCTGCGGCCCTCAGCAGTGCTCAGCAGGACCATGGATTACCTGGTGACCCAGGTGATGGACCGGAGGGAGGGCAACCTGCGGGACTGGTATGACTTCCTGTGGAGCCGCACACGGGCCATCCGGAAGGACATCACGCAACAGCACCTGTGTGATCCTGTGACGGTGTCCCTGATTGAGAAGTGTGCCCGGTTTCATATCCACTGTGCCCACTTCCTGTGCGAGGAGCCCATGTCCTCCTTTGATGCCAAGATCAACCATGAGAACATGACCAAGTGCCTTCAGAGTCTGAAGGAGATGTACCAAGACCTGAGGAACAAGGGCGGCTTCTGTGTCAGCGAGGCTGAGTTCCAGGGCTACCATGTGCTGCTCAATCTCAACCAGGGGGACATCCTGAGAGAAGTACAACAGTTCCATCCGGCGGTTAGAAACTCCTCGGAGGTGACATTTGCTGTGCAAGCTTTTGCTGCATTGAACAGTCATAATTTCGTGAGATTTTTCAAGCTGGTCCAGTCAGCTTCTTATTTGAACGCTTGTCTTTTACATTGCTACTTTAATCAGATCCGCAAGGATGCTCTCCGGGCACTCAACATCGCCTATACTGTGAGCAAAAAACGATCCACCCTCTTTCCCCTGGACAGCGTGGTGCGCTTGCTGCTCTTCAGAGATTGCGAAGAGGCCACAGACTTCCTCAACTCCCATGGTCTCCCTGTTGCCGATGGCTGTGTTGAGCTGAACCGGTCCTCGTTCTTGGAACCAGAGGGGTTCTTGAAGGCCAGGAAGTCGGTGTTTATTACCAGGAAGCTGATGGTGTCGGTTGGGGAAATTGTGAATGGGGGGCCGTTGCCCCCTGTCCCTCGTCATACCCCCGTGTGCAGCTTCAACTCCCAGAACAAGTACGTCCGAGAGAGTCTGGCCGCGGAGCTGTCCCTGGGCCCTCAGAGACCCGGCTTGGAGGCAGCAGGTGGGGGGAGAGGAGAGGAATGTGGTACTGAGGCGGCCGCGTCCCAGCCTACCCTCCTCCCGCAGCCTCTTCCCATCTTGGCTCCTGCACCGCCCTATCTGCCGCACCACCCAGCAGCCACCCGGAGTGCAACACCCGGCCTCTTCCAACCCCCCATGACACCCCCTGGGCAGCCGGAGCTCCTTCCTGCAAAGCCTGAGCCTGTGCACTCTGACGCGGACCTGGCCCAGGTGGTGGAGCTTATCCAGGAGGTTCTTCAACTGTGAGGAGGTTGGTGCCGCTGGGGCGGCCTTCGCAGCCACAGCTCTGGGTGTTTGCAATGCTGCTGTGGAGGAGTTGTTAACAGCTGCTACCACAGGCATTTTGAGGCAACGATCAGACTGTCAAACCTCAGAGGGAAGGTAGGGGAGGGTGGGGTTAAGGGGGAGAGATTAACCAAAGGACTTGTATGTATGCATATAAGCCTAACCAATGGACACAGACCCCAGGGGGGTGAGGGCATGAGTGGGGAATGGGGGGCAATGGGGGGGGGGGTAAGGATACATATGTAATACCTTAATTAATAAAGAAAAAAATTAAAAAGGTCTCTTTAGTTTGATATGGGAAAGATAAACTAGAACTAACAAGATGAAATTAAATGGTTAGGAAGGCTATTGGGAGAGCATTTCTGATAAAGGGAAAATAGATGCAATTGTCCAGAAATATAAAAGAGTTTGGTATCTTCTTTAAGTATAGAATTGGCCATACTAAATGAAAGACTAGCAAACATATCTTCTTTTATCTTTTACTAGAGGCCTGGTGCACAGATTCATGCACTGGTGGGGTCCCTTGACCTGGCCTGTGGGGATTGGACTGAAACCCGATCTCTGACATCCCCTGAGGGGTCCCGGATTGGGAGAGGGCAGTTCTCGGGTGAGACACCATGGAATCGGGCTCTCTCCTCTCTGGTTCCAGGTGTATCACCCGAGAACTGCAGCTGCCAAGTCACTGCAGCTCAGCAGCTCCTTCATTGAGCATCTTTCCCGTGGTGGTCAGTGCACATCATAGCTACCATTCGGACAGTCGAATGGTTGTTTGGCTTTTATACATATAGATTGTCTTGATCATTGGTGATAAGAGAATGATAAAATCTATGTTGCTTTTTAAAGAACATAGTGACATGAAAGTGAGAATTATCACTTACAATCATATTTCATAGTCCAAAGAAAGCCACGTGACCAAGTCTAACTTCATGGGGACAAGGAAGTATGACTCTAAATGTGAGCTCAGAAGGAAAAAAAACTTAACATAGTTGATAAACAGAATTAATGACTATGATAGAGGGAAAGAAAAACATGAGGTGAAGCTGGCTGGAGTATTGTTCAGGGAACAGACTACGCTATCTCGTATAGGCATTGTTTTAGGGACATCATCTTAACAGACTTTCACTTTAGAAGATGAATTTGGTTGCTGTGTTTTGAATAGACCAGAGGGGACTAAGAATAGAATCAGAAAGATCATTAAGAAAGGTACAGTGATGATAATTTAGAAGGATGACCTTGAATAACAGTGGAAATGAGGAAGTGAAAAGATTAGGAATCCCTTTAAAGATTGTGACTTATTGAGTGTGCATGGGGAATGAGAAAGAAACATCAATACTCATCTAAGACTCTATCATCAACTATGGATTGAATGGTCATGATATTTGCTTCAATGGACACCGTAAATGTAGATGAAAGGAAATACAATTTTACAATCAGACACTGTAATGTGTTTTTCCTAGGGGACGTTCAAGTTGAGTTATTCCATAGGCAGGCATATCTAGGTGTCTAAAATAGAAGTTGGAAGAGAAATTTAGAATGAATATAGATATAGATTTGGGAGATGCTTACATATAGATGGTATTTCAAATCAGAAATATCTATTTAGACTATATATGTACACACATATATATATACACACATACCATATATATACACATATAGACACATACACATATATATGTATACATATGTATATATGTATGTATATATATACATAACTATATACACATATGTGTGTGTATATGTATGTATCAACATATATATATATATATATATATATATATATATATATATATGAGGGAAAAATGTCAAAAACACACCTTTGGCCCAGCCAATGTGGCTTGGTGGTTGAGCTTCAAGCCATGAATCAAGAGGTCACTAGTTCCAGGTCAGGACACATGCCTGGGTTTTAGGCTCAATCCCCGATGGGGGCATGCAGGAGGCAGTGGGTCAATGTTCTCTCCCTCTTCACTCCTCTCTTTTTAAAAATCAACAATAACAAAAAATTTAAAAAAAAGAAAACCTCAAACACCTTCAGAAAGCCAACAGAGAAAACTCAGTTTGAGAAGTGTGAGCCAGCACAGAGTACTAAGAAGCCACAGTCAGAGGAGTTGAACATGAAGAAAATTGTTCCCGGCCCCTCCACCTGGTCATCAGACTTTAGAAGTCTCCTGTTAACCCATAAGTTGAAATCTGCACATCCTTTTAGAGAAGGAGAGAATTTAACCATCGTTATATTCTACTTTATGCTGATTTAAAAAATAGATACGCTATTGTGCGGTGGGTGGAAACATGCTACACAGAACAGAAGATGAGAATGTTAGATGTTTTTTTCTTCCCCACTTCTCTACTCTACCCTAGTCATGCACTCACACACACATACACATTTATATTATTATTTTTGTTAATGCAGTAACTGAAATGGAAGAGTTAAACATGTTCAACACACTGTGTGATGCTCGCAGGGCTTAGATGGGGCACTACTTACAAAACTTAATTGATGAGGAGAAAGGTATGAACATGTTAAATGCTCTAGTAGTTCTCGTCCCAAAGGTTTGATGATGTGGTTGGCAAGATAACAAAAGGAGAATGGTAGTTAAAATCTGTATTTGAAAATCTATAAAAATGTGCATGGTGTGGTATTAAAAACTGCTTAAGTTATCATTGGATTTATGTTGATGCCTAGAAGAGGGGTTGATGTTATTTATAATTCTCTTTCCAAGACTTAGAATGAGAGGAGCTAAAATTTAATTTACTGTCACGGGTAGAGAACTGACAATGGATCGATATCTGGCGACAGCTTTGCGTTCCTCATACTTTACAGGCTTTATTATTTCTTCCATAAAAAACATAGCAATACACTGCGTGTTCCAAAGGAGTGAGAGCAATACAATTAGAGTTATAATGGGCAACGGACCCCATAACCCAGAACAGGGATGCAGGGAGAGTATGCTTTTGTGCAATCAGTTACTGTGTAGCCCAGATTACTTCCCAGCAGTGAGATTATGAGTACTAGATATTTTTATTCTCCTATAAATCTACTGCTTTGGCTTAGGGCCCAGGTTAGTTACTTGGAAATAGTTTGATCTTTTTGTGTCTTACTTTTAAGATTTGTTAGACAAGATCAGAGCCATGTTTAGTCTAGGGCTAATTTCCCCCACAATTGAGACAAGATGGTTCTGGATACGTTACCCGGTGCTCCAGGAATTATGAGATCTTTCCTGGCTGATAGAACAGGCAATATTTCTAGTCCTGTATTAGCATCAGGCATTGCTACCCTTAATCCTTTTTAATATATCTGTCTCTATTCTTAGGTAGTTTCCTTTTACGTATATGTTGACAAGTACTCAGTGACTCAGATCTTTGCGTCCTTCTCTGTGCAGCTCTCTTGTCTGATATGCTATCTTGCCCACTGTAGCCACCTGGGTTTCCCTGAAATCTCAGCAACATCTTCTCCACTCAGGGAGTCACCAGGCCCCACCTGAGGAGCCTCTTTATGTATCAGTGCCTGGAAAGTCACACAATAATAAACTAAGTTTTTTGTTTTTTCTCACAGGGATGACTGTACTATGTGAACTGTTGTCCAGAGACATGAAAACCTTTGTTTCAACTATTTGTTCTTTCTTTTTTCTTTTGTATTTTCCTTTCTTCTTTTCTTTTCCTTTGGTTGTTTCAGGAGTGAGGATAAATCTCATTATTCTGTCTCGGCTGGAAGTCAAACAAGTATTTCGGATACCAGAAAATGAAACTATTGACAATCTTATTTTCATTTTACTCATAGGGAAGAATACTCTATCATTGTGCCTAGAATTAACAAATAGACCTTTACCTCCAATACTATAGGTAAAAATGAGTAATTTTTAATGGATAAAGTAGAAAATTACTTCCAGTTAATAACATTAGGAATTTCTAAAAATTTATCTTCAACAAAGTTATACTAAAAATCAGAAAATATTTGGGCAATTCTAACTCCTAACTGGAAAGAGGTATTAAAAAGAGTAATAATTCCAACTTAATTAATGAATATAAATGTATCTTATTTTTTAAATATATATATTTTTTATTTCAGAGATAAAAGGAGGGGGAGATATAAACATCAATGATGAGAGAGAATCATTGGTAGGCTGCCTCCTGGATGTCCCCCCTCTACTGGGGATCCAGCCCACAACCGGGGCATGTGCCCTGACTGAGAATGGAACCGTGACCTTTTGGTTCATACGTTGATGCTCAACCACTGAGGCACACCGGCCAGGCCAACATAAATGTATTTTTAAAAATTGTATTACATTATTAATTTTATGAAATAAGTAATTAGTGAATTTTAATAGTAAATATATGTGAGAAAATAAAATACTGTGCTGTTACTAAGAAAGTAAATGTGTGTGTTACATATATCAGGTTTTGTTCCATCAATAGAAAATTCCTATCATACCTGAAAATGGTAGATAAAATTTTTTAGCTTTTTTGGTTTGTGCTCCTCAAATACTTTTTCCTTCTTAAAGTGAAAAAGAGATCCAGTTTCTTTTATTGGCATCTCTAAACCAGCTTTTATGTTTCTGATCAACTATATTTTCCCTGAACTTGCAACATTTTTGTATCTCAATGTGAGAATAAATATAATTTTAAACATTTATTTCCTGCTTGTCATGATTTCAAACTCACAGACTCACATCTTGCAAGGGATAATATATATGACAGAATAAAACAAACAAAATGAGAAAGAAAGATTATGAGATTAAAGACAAGGCATTGGAAGCCTAGTAAATTATTAAAACTAACAACTTCATATTTAAAGATTTTAGAAAAATTGAAAGTTTTATTTTGTTTACAAATATGGGGAAATAATTATTATAAACCTGGGGGGTCAACCCAGTGCAAGATTTTGCTTTTAAGCACCATAGTCAGGCAGGTGTCTGGAGGCTCTGAACTCATTCTGAGTCAGATTGGGATTGAGTTACTTAAACAGAAACAAGGGTTTTATTAATCACTCAGTGGCCATATTTATGTTTCTATTTTCAAACCCAGACAGCAAAATAAGATATTACAAAATGCAATAATTCTCAAGC